TTCCCTAACCCCTAATCGTGCTGTGTCAGGCCCTGAATGAGGACATCGTGCGAGTGTCCAGCCGGCTGGAGCACCTGGAGAAGGAGCTGTCTGAGAAGAGTGGGCAGCTGCGGCAGGGCAGTGCCCAGAACCAGCAGCAGATCCGAGGGGAGATCGACACGCTACGCCAGGAAAAGGATTCACTGCTGAAGCAGCGCCTGGAGATTGACAACAAGCTGAGGCAGGGCAGCCTTCTGTCACCTGAGGTACACTCGGGTCACCCCTCTGTTCCTGTCGTCCATCCATCCATCTGCTGTCCGCCCCCACCCTGGCTCCTGGGGTGCTGGCCTTGCCGCTTGTGGATGTGGCTTTCCTTCATGCAGGGGCCCTGTGGTGGGGCTGGCCTGCCTTTCTGCCTCTGCCTCCACCACCTCACCTGAGCACCCTGGCTTGGCTGAATTTTAGGCTCTCTTCTGGGTGACCCTGGACTCCTGCCGTGTCGTGTGCAGCATTAGACCACGTGCTTGTGTCTGAACTCCATGATGGGGGCTGAGCATCAGGAGCATGCTTAGCATCCCTGCCGGCCACACATGCATACTTCCCCTGAGCAGAGAGCCAGCCCTGGCGACATAAGCTTTCCTAGGCTGTGACCAAAGTGTCCCTTTTGCTGCCACAGGGAGCAGGGGTGCTTTCTCTTCATGCTCAGGATGAAGGGATGCTGAAGGCTGCTGTGGCTGCCTGCTGACTGTGGGGTGTCTGCCTAAGACTCTGTGTATCAGGAAGCGGATGGTGCATCTCCACGTGTGCCCCTGTCTCCGCAGGAGGAGCGGACACTGTTCCAGCTGGACGAGGCCATCGAGGCCCTGGATGCTGCCATTGAGTACAAGAATGAGGCCATCACATGCCGCCAGCGGGTGCTGCGAGCCTCAGCCTCCCTGTTGTCCCAGTGTGAGATGAACCTCATGGCCAAGCTCAGCTACCTCTCCTCCTCTGAGACCAGAGCCTTGCTCTGCAAGTACTTCGACAAGGTGGGTTCCACACAGCCCCGCCTGTGCCTCCTGAGGCTCCGCTGAGGCAGGAGTGTTTTCCTTTCAGAAGGGCATTTCCGGGCCACCCTAGTCTGTCCTGCCTTGCTCCCCTCTCTGGAGCAGGTGCTACATAAGACCCAGTCTCCTCCTCTTCCAGCCTGATTGCTGTCTTCAGGCTGGCCCTTGCCCACAGCAGTGGGTCTCAGGGGTGGTTTTGCCACAGCACGTGGAGAGCTACTTGTGGTTGTTACCTGCTGGCCTCAGCACAGGTGGTGACACTCCGAGAGGAGCAGCACCAGCAGCAGATCGCCTTCTCCGAGCTGGAGATGCAGCTGGAAGAGCAGCAGAGGCTGGTGTACTGGCTGGAGGTGGCCCTCGAGCGGCAGCGTCTGGAGATGGACCGCCAGCTGACACGGCAGCAGAAGGAGCACGAGCAGAGCGTACAGCTGTTACTCCAGCAGGGCCGGGGTAAGCACTCAGCTGGCGGGGCTGGGCTGGGCTGCTGCCACCCACTTGCCTGCAGCCACTCACCACTGTCCCGCCTCTCCGTGCCAGACCACCTGGGCGAGGGCTTTGCAGACAGCAGGCGGCAATACGAGGCCCGGATCCAGGCTCTGGAGAAGGAGCTGAACCGCCACATGTGGCTGAACCAGGAGCTGAAGCAGAGGCTGAGTGTGGGGAGTGCCACAGGCCAGAGCAGGGGTAACACTGCCTTCCCCACCCAGGCCTGCCCTGCTGCCGGGTCGGGAGGACCCCAAGGTTTAGGGGGGCACTTTAGGGGGAACCACCCTGACTTGTTAATTTCCCAAGCTGTTTGGCTCCCACCTCTGTTTCTGACAAGGATGTGCTATTCTTGGTGACAGGTGGGGAAAGGAGGAGCCTCAGCCTGGAGAACAGACAGGGCCCTGGACATGACGAGGGGCTGCACCCCACCGCACCGGAGCTTCTCTGGCAGCCCCTGCTCTCCGAAGGTGCTCCGCGAGCTCGGGAGGAGATGCGTGACTTGGTCCACGCCCCGTTACCACTGACATGGAAGCGCTCAAGCCTGTGTGGCGAGGAGCAGTGCAACCCCGAGGAGCCACGGCTGCGGGAGGCAGCTGAGCCCCTAGTGGGGCGGGTGCTTCCTGTGGGTGAGGCTGGCCTGTCCTGGAACTTTGGACCCCTGGCCAAGCCGCGAAGGGCCAGCCCAGGGATGATCGATGTCCGGAAAAATCCCCTGTAGGCCGGTAGGGCAGGTCCTGCCTCAGAGGGCGATTCTTGTCCTGCTGAAAGGCGCCTGGTTTGTTCTGTGAAGTAGTCTTTGCCTCACACCTAAAGCCAGGCCCTCATCTCTGCACCCACTGGCATCAACTAATTTGGGTCATAACCCCAAAGAGGACTTATTTTTTCTGCAATGTAGGGGAGTAAAACCAGGCCCTTGTGTGCTAAGCATGTGCTCTACCCGAGCGAATCCCCAGCTCTCATTTTTAGAAAATATGCAAGTTCCTACCACCTGCTTCCTTTAGGCTGCAGGATCTGATTGCCAGCTTTCAGCTTGCTCAAGTTTCAGGGCAATTCTGACTTCAAGTCTTAGCCATGTGCCTGAAGTTCCCTTAAGAGAGTCGGCAGCAACAGGGCTGTGGTTTAAATGGTTTCCTATAGACAGGGGAGTTAGGGAATTTTTAAGTCATTTTATAATAAACAGGAAAAGTCTCCTTATGGTTTGGCTCTTAAATGTTTGTTGAAGGCTTGACCCCCTGCTGGTGGTGCTGTTGGGGACTTTAGGAGGTAGCCCTTGGGGTTGCATCCCTAAAAGGGAGACTGGGACCCCAGCCCCTTTTATCCCTCTGCTTCCAAACCCCAAAACAAAGACAACTTACCATGGACTGAAACTGAACTAAAATATTTAGACCTTTTCCTTCTAAGTTATTTCAGGTATTCGCCATAGCTACAGACTACCATAGAAAACATCCTAGAAGCGCAGCCATGTTACCAAATCTGTAGGTTCTTTTCTTTTTTACTGTATTTTAGTACAGGGACTACCGGGTCTCACTACACAGAATGGACTCGTTTTCAGCCTCCTGAGCACTGGGATTACAGGCGTGCGATACCACACCGTCTCAGTTGCTGTCTCAGCGTGGTGGTGGTGGGGGGCAGGGGTAAGACTAAGCCGGCACTTCAGTCCGCTGAGCTATTTGGCTGGCCCTCTTTTCTTGTTAATCGTAAATAATCAATTGTAGGAGCAGGCAGGACATTTAACTGAAGGGGTAGTGAGCGGCATTCCCACTCTAAAGGCGTCTTCTCCCCAGGTGGGTCTGGGGCCTGGATTTTACTGGGTTATAGGGAGGATGTGATATGTGTGTTGTCATCAGAGCCCTTCACAGCAAGGGGACACTTTCGGGAACTAGTGTGCTGCCCTTCTCTGCCCTAATTAGGGCATGGCTAGATCTGTCCTGGTGCTAAGCCCAAAGTGGGCTGGAATGTCAGCCTGGAGCGCCCCCTGCGGTGAGCGGGAGGATGTGCAGCTTGTGGATGACTGACCGGAGCATGGGTTATCAGTGCTATCTGGAATTCTAGGGTTCAGTCTGGTGAGTTGCTATGATTATATCTGACAGTGTGACTCAGCAGCCTTTGGGATTGGCTTCCAGCTTAGAAGTTTGGAAAGCCAGGCTAGAGAAAGCTTCAAACAAGGTGAGCAGAAGTTAATGGCCATTCCTGTGGGCTCTCAGACCACTGCAGGGAGTGTGGGCGGGGACAGCTGTGCGGGTGAGGCTTCTGGTGGAAACGAGAACACTAGTGAGCACTCGACCGGAGGCCCTGACGCAACTTCTGCCCTAAGGACTTGTCTAGGTTCTGTTGAGGTCCTCAGACCCTTGGGAGGCACAGCTGAAAGGCAATGGGCCAGTAATCCTTGCAAGATGTCAGGGCAGCTTCAGGCAGTATCTTGCTGTGTTCAGCCAGACTGACAATGAGAATCAAGAGTAAAACCAGAGGAGAAAGATCTGAAAAACTTGGTGTGGTCGGAAAAGGAGCAGAGTTCAAGTTGCAGCCAAGTATATGGTTGCTAGAAATCAGAGCTATTAAAAAGTTCCTCCCCCAAAGGCCCAGTAGACAGGTGGCCTGTGATGTTGGCAGTGGCCCCCCCCCCCACATGCAACTTGCAGTGATCCTCCTGCCTCAGCCTCCAAAGTGCCAAGATTCTAGGCATGCACCTCTATGCCCAGCATGTTCTTACAGGGGTCTGCAGGCTAGCTGAGTTTTCCTAGCCTCAGAGAACACTTGGGAGTTGGACTTGAGCAGCGGTACAGATGGACTAAATGATTTCTCACTGGAGATGGACATGAGCTTTGGTCCCCAGGTCATGGTTGTGTGGGAAGCTGCTGCGGCCAGACGTGCCCTTTAAGGGACATTGGGACCCTGGTCCCCCTCGCTGGGCAACAGTATGTGCTGTTTCACTCTACCAGTGGATTCCCACCATGGGGAACTTCAGCACAGGTCCCCAAACAATGCAGCCACTGACCATGGCTACAGCTTCCAAACTATGAGCACAGATCAAGCCCTTACAAGTGACCCAGGTATGTTGTGGCAGTGGGGGCTCACACATCTCTGTAGGTTTGCTGGAGTTTTCATTTGGAATTGGATAAGACAGTAGGAAGAATCTAACCTGGACCCCAACAGGCTTGAGTGCTTTGAGAAACCATAAGGTCTGCCTTTTCCATGGAGCCTACTTGGTGGTGCCAGGTGAGTCTCCCCAGGAACAAGGTGGCCAATGGCTGAGCTGGCTGGGTCTCAGGACAGACCTCAAAATGTGGCTGTTCTGGAAACTGCTAGCGCTGGACCAGCCACAGGTAACCTTAGCAGGGAACATTAAACAGAAAAGCACTGAAAGTTGAGCAGCAAGAAATGACTTCACTACCACACAGGCGCATAAGCATTTATTCCCTTGCTTGCCACAGCACCTTCATGCACAGGGCTTCACAGCTTACGAAGTAATTGGGTCGCAGTATCCCAGCCTTACAGCACCTTCTAGAGGGACCTCTTGAGGGGCTCCTGTCTCCACCTACACAAGCGAGACAGTGGCTTCCCAACTTGAGTTTGGGGTGTCGCTGGAATGGGACCCCACCTGACCCAGATCCTCGCCTAGTTTCCTGACTGCTGGGCCAAGTCACAGCAGCAGCTACACTGCCACCCACCTGCCCTGCCAGCCGGGCAGAGGCAGAGCCTAGGGTGCGTTACACAGCGAGGTGCTGCTGGAGGGTGGCAAGTCTCTGCGAGGAACTGTAGGGGAATCTGCAAGCTGACTGTGGCTTGGGGACACGTCTCCTACTTCTGTAAGCCCGTGGTGACCAGGCTGACTTCAGCTTCACTTTCTGAAGGGTCTTGGACCCCTTTGTGCCAGGTACCCCAATCTTGGGCCCCTGCTGGGAAGCCTGGGCACAAGGGGGGAACAGCTGACCCCTCATGGCCCCTCTGCCCAGTAGGCAGTGGCTGGTTGCTGTCAGTCCTCCGGTGGTCCTGGCCTCACTAGCTAACAAGCTTCTTCCGGGTGTAAGTCCTGCTGAAGGGGCGTCTCCGGGAGAAGGCCGGGCTGAAAGTGGGTGCTTCTGCAGTGGAGGGAAAGACATCTGCATTCTCATCTAGAAAAACCAGAAAAGCGACTGAAGACCAGAGTGAAGGAAACTGGCTTGAGCTGCAGCGGCTCAGACAAGGACTCAGGACAACCACGCTGCAGGGAGGGCTTCTTCATCCCATGGAAACAAACTCCCCTTGTTACAAGGCTCCATTTCATGGTTATGCAGAGCTCCCATTGTGGGCAACGCGGGCACCTGCAGGCTTGGATGAGGGCTTTCTGCTATTCTGCATGACTTACACCCCTGCCTCAGAAGGCTGTGAGGAAGAGGCTCCTCCCACAGATGGTGATTCTGTCTGCTTCTGACCGGCAGCACTTAGCATACCTGTGGGGCCATTCCTGTTCAGATTCTAAGACTACAGGTGCGCAGCAGTATGTCCCAGTGGGCCAATCCCTGTCACCATCTCCAAGACTCGAATGCTGTGGCAGGATTCTTTGGGGTGCACACAGTTTCTACTGTGGAGCTACCCTGGGCAGGGACTGACACTAGACACAGATTGTCTACCTTGCCCTTAGCATCCCCAAGGTTCTCAGGCTCTGGAGACCTCTGCAGACCCCTCTGGTGCTTACCTGTAGGGTTCAAGCACTGTGAGGATGCTGCCTTCCTGGGGAGCAGCAGCGGGGACTGGGTGAGAGCCTGCAGCCCGCTGGCTGAGAGGCAGCTCCGCATAGCACAGCCGCGAGGTGGGGTGCAGCCTAGGGAGAGGCCAGCTGTCAGGGTTTCCCACAGGCCCCAGCAGGTTGAGTCCCGGCCCCCATGCTCCAAATGCCTCCTCCCTGAGGCTGCCCAACAGAAACCATGCAGCCTGTGGGTTCCAAACACAAACTCACCAGAAGTGAACACCTCGTCGTCCCCAGAGGAGAGGAGCTGCAGCATGGCCCACCTTGGACCCCCCTTTCCATGCTTCCTCATGTCCGCATCTTCCTTTGGGGTTTCACAAACTCTGTTGGCTCCACCCTCGGCTTCTTCCTTGGAGGACCAGTGTCTCTTCCTAGAACCCAACCCAAACTGTCCCCATGAGGCTTCCTCGGCCTTGGTGACACTGTCCCCAGGAGGTGACTTGTCTGGGAGTTGACACACTCCCTCAAGCTCAAAGTCCTCAGAGACAGGAGTCTTACAGAGGTTCAGTTTAAGGGCCTGCTCCCCGGCTTGGGGCTCCGGCGGTGGCAAAGCCCCAAGAGGGTCCATGCCCACCTCGCCTCGCCCCGAGGACAGCCCATTGCTGCAGTCCACTGCCCTCTTCCTCCGGGGCCAGTCTTGAATGGAGTCAGGAGTGGTCTTCCCACTGTGCTTTGGGGACGGTGTCCAGGGAACCCCAACATCTGTCTGAAATGGAGAGGGGGTACTGGGTGGGCAGTGGGTTGGGGTGCAGGATTGGCAGATGTAGGTCTGCCCCTTGCCAGGCGTGCTGTGCAAGGAGTAGAGGCAAGAGGGTGACGCATAGGAAGTCTCAGGCTTGCTGGCAGTGCTGCTGGCCCTGGGCATGCTGAGATCAGGCAGGGAGGCCTCTTCTCTCACAGGGCTCCCCTCCTTTTCTGGGGCTCCGGCCTCAGTCAGTGCACTGGAATCTACCTTCTTAATCCGAAGTTTTGGCAGGCCAGAGGCCTGCATCTCCAGCTTGACCTCATAGGTCTGCGGGCTGGCAGGGGCCTTCAGAGGCCTCACTGGAACCCTCAGGCTCTCCAGCTGTGCCACATTCTGGCACTGCCATCTGTCTGGAGGGCAAGGCAGGGGACAGGACTCTATCTCAGGAGAGCCAGGCCCAGAGCAAGGAGCAGGTGAGGAAGTCCTGGCGTTGGGCACAGAGGGGCGCTCCTGGGCAGGACCTACTGTCCTTAGTCCTGCACCTTCACCGCTCCTCACTTTGTGGCTCCCACTGCCCTGGGCTTCGGCTTCCTCAAGAAGAATGAAACAATCTGTGTCACTTGTAACAAGCAGAGGGGAGCACCCAGGCCAGTCACTGCTGACATCAGTGCCTAGGTGCCTCTGTCCTTCAGGAGAGGGTTGGGTGGAGGGACTTGCCTCCTGGTCTTTTCTAGTACTGGTGGTGGCAGCTGGGCTGGTGGCTGTGGCAGCCCCAAGTACAGCGAAGGGCCCAGGTGGGCACTCCAGAGAGTCTTGTTTGGGGTCTGAGGTCCTTCTATACCGTCTCCTAAGTTTAGATGGCGGTGGAGGGGGTACGGTGACAGACACAACACTCTGTGGGATTGTAGGGGGAACTGAGGGTCCAGCACAGGAGGGAGATGCAGCCCTGCCAGGTGACGTCTGGTACACTTTGTGATCTAGGTCTCCAGGGCCAGGGGACACTGTTGAGGGCCTCCTTAGTGGGCTCTTGGCCAAGTCCCATTTCTCTGGAGCACTTGGTAGGGAAGTCACAGTTATGTTGGGTCTCTTGGCGGTTTGGACAGCTTTGTCCTTTAGTGTCTGTGCTGGTTCTTCTGCCTGAGAGACTCCAGGGAGGAGCTGCTGGCACTTTTGACCTTGAGGTGGGCCCAGGAGGGCTGCTGCCCTCGGTGGTGTCCTGAGGCAGTACCTGACAGGGGTCACACACTCGCTCCTGGGCTGGGCAGCTGAGGGAGTCGGGGATGCCGGATGGTACAGGCTTTCTGGACTGGAACTGGCTGGATGTGGCCATGCACAGCTCAGTATGAAGGCTGGTGGCTGAGCACCCGGCCTGGTGGGTGTCCTCGGGGTCCCTGTGGCAAGAGCAGAGGGCTCTTCTGCCAGGGAGGGTCCTTCCTGCAGTGTGGCTCCTGATGGCGAGGGCGAGCAGCAGCAAGGTGAGGAGAGCTCCTGTGGGGCCTGAGCAAGGGTGGGCTCCGCAGGGGTCACCTCCACAGCAGGGTGCAGCACCCTTTCTGGAGTGCATGGGGAAATCTGCGGTGTTCCTGGGAACTTTTTCGTTGCTGTCTTAGGAAGCCTTGGAGATTTCTGGTAACTCTTCTTAGGAGTCTGTAGAGATAAGTGATTATTTTAGTGCTTGAAACATTTTCACCCATATTTTCTAAAAAGTGTCTTCATGGCTCTAAGTGGACCAGAAAAGCATACAAGACATTTAAAATCAGCAACAGGATCTTAATTTGGAAATTTTATATAGTGGCCTGTCATCCTCTCCAGAGCCTGACTCAGATTTATACTTGTCCGTGTCTCATCGGGCCAAGCACTGCGGCAAATGATTTTAATAATTAGCACACTGCCCTCCACCATGCCTTGCCTCTACCCATGCCACTGCAGCTCTCCCCTCTCCTCAGACAAAACAGCTACTGCTCACCTTTGCTGAAAGCAGTCCCCGAAGCCACCTAGCTGCTCTCGGCTCCCGTCAGCCTGTGTGTGCTGCACACCTACTGTGTGTAGATGCTGGGTGGCCACAGCTGCAACACTGCCCACTGAAATGCCCTTCCTCCTCACAAATGACGTAGGAAAATTCCCACCAAGAAGTCAAACACCCATCTTTTCTGCAGCCTTACTGGATCATCCCAAGGGAATCAAAGTCTGGCTGGCATCTCGAGTTCAGTGAGAGAGCGACAGGCGAGACCAGTGCGGCCAGTGCAGTGACAGGGCTGGGCCGTGTAACACACTGGGGCGGGGGAAGAAGTGCTAGCAAATCGAGTGTTCAAGAATGGGCGTCAGCAGGGGAAGGAGAGGCTGGAGAGTGGGGCAGGAGGACTTGAGGCACAGAACGCAGAAGCGGCAGAGGCACGGATGCGGAAAGCGGCAGCTGTGGGCAGGATGGTACTCGGCCTGCTGTTGCTGGGCAGGATGCCACAGTGGGGAGGGGGAAGGCCCGCCAGCTGGGCAGGGACCTAATCATGGAGGGCCCTGCCTGTCCAGGAGACAAGACTGACTGTGGTCATGTAACCTGTGGGCTCCAAACCTTTCCCCAGAGCTCTGTGTGCCCTCCTAACCTGGCCACAGTTTAAATGACTACTTTTGCACTTTATGAAACTTTAGAAACTTGGCTTTAGCAGGTAAACTCAGTGCCTTAAACAAAGCAAAATCAGATGAGTATTTCAGAAAGATAATTCTGTCCTCTGGATGGCAAGTGGATTTGGGAGAGAAAAGGCTGTTAAAATGTTCCAGGTGGAGCTTAATAATGAAGAAGTTTCAGGGATGAACACACAGGTGGGTACCAGAACTAGTGTGTCATAACCCAGGCAGGACTGGAGTGAGGAGCCTTGCCCTAGGAGATGGAGCAGTCAAGGGTGACCCCCAGGTTTCTAACACAGGTGCAGACAGAGGGGCACTTGAATGAGAATGGAGGACTGGGGCACACTGCAGAGGCATACACGTAGTGCGTAACACAGCTCAAGTCAAAAGAGCAGCCCTATCTCCTCCCCACCACTGTGGCTATGCTTAAGTTCCCATATGCTTAAGAATCACCTATGTAGGGCTCTTTGCAAGGGTATCTGGAAGTAATCTGCACCCGCCAGCAGCTGCAGTAACTACAGTTTCTTTTTTTCTTTGTGGCAGAGCTGGGGATTAAACTCAGGCCCTACTGAGCCATCTCCCCGGCCCCAGTAACTACAGTTTCAACTTCAGCTCCACGATGTTTCCCTTGGCCAAAAACGCATTAGGTTGTTTTCTAGTTCGAAGTATTCAACAAATGGCAGCAAGGCAGAGCCATAAGAAACGTACACCTGATTTCCATTAGAAATATGGTAATGCTCTATTAGTTGGCAGAGCCACATTTTGTATTGCTGCATGGACCTATTCAGCAACACAAATTGGAATAAAATGGAACTGTTCCCCTGTTGGCAGAGTCACCCCCAAGGAATGGAGAGATCAGTAATCATGCCGGCTGGTATGATACAGCTAAATTATTTCTAAATGAAATCATAATTGATGCCAAGTAAAAGCGCTATGTATCCATTAAAATATGGCCTACTGAAAAAATAAAGTACAATTGGAATGAACCTTCAAAAAAAAAAAATCACCTACGTGGCTAAACCCAGCCACCTCAGATGTTATCTACAGGCACCTGCTTTCTTGGCAGCCTCACTGTACCTTCTAATCATTTTAGGAACCGTATACCTGATAAGCTTCAGGTGTCTCAGAGCTCAGCTTGCTTCTTGACAGCCTTTTAATTCGGGCCGAACCCTTCTCTGAGGGGCTGACCATTTCAGACACTGCTCCAAAAAGAAGGCTCTTGGGAGACCGAATACTTTGAATTGGAGAATTTTCTCTTTGTTCTGCAAGTCAAAGACAGCAACAATACTTAATTACTTCTCAACCTCCATCCTCTCAACACATAGGAAGCTAGTCTGTATAAAAAGACAGTCTTTAGAGGGAAAATTATTAGGTGGGGGAATATTGCAGATTATGTCAGCCACGGCAATGGCTGCTGCCTTCTTAAACTTTTGTTTGTTTGTTTTGGTGGAACTGGGGATTGAACTCAAGCCCTTAAGTGCTCATTCTACTGAGCCATCTCCCGGGCCCCTGCCTTCTTAAATTTTAAATAAGACTACAAATTGATCCCAGGTCCTATGCTGGAAAATCTGGGCAACTGAAGTAATTTTTAAGTGTTAAAAAAACACATATCAGCCAGTCTCATCATGGATAAAAGAACAACATACAAACAGGTGTGACCTTTTATACGGGGATATTTGTGTCGAGGGCTTGTCTATGCAGTGGGACTTGTGGATAACTTCCCATTGAAAGAATGGACTACTTATAACAGCGTGGACAGGCAGCCATAGGAATCAAAGGGATGACTGAACACACAGGCCGAGGCTGCTATCATCGCCTGGACCTCCACAGTGCACGCACTCTTTTGCTCCAAAGTCAAAAGGGAAAACGTCAGATTGCAAAGACACTTCCCACCAAGTCAGTGCGGACTTGTGAACAGAGATGGGCCCTGTTACCTGACTTGTTCTGCTGGAATGAATGGACTCTCTGCACGCTTCGAGACTTTGGCTGAGACACAGAGTAGAAGGAACCAGAATTTGTTCTGCTAAATGATAACTGCTTGATTCGAGGACTTCGTCTCAAACTTATTTCTGCAAAATAAGAACCAGTTAGTAACCAGGGAGAATTATAATCCTGACATCTCATGTTGTCAAAAATAGGCAAAATGCATGTACTACCCCATGTAAGATGCAATCTGCCAGCAGCTTTGATATTTCTGAAGTGCCTCTTAGAAAGATAAGAGGGAGCTGGGTGCAGTGGCACAGTGTTCTGAGAACTGAGGCAGAAAGACCTCACATTTGATACCTGGGCAACTTAGTGAGATCCTCTTTCAAAATAAGAAAAAGGGGCCGCAGATATTGAACAGAGGCACAATGCCTGCCTGGCAAGGGCAACGACCTGAGTTTGATCCCTGGATCCAAAAAAGAAAAGGGCTAGGGATGTAGCTAGGTGCAACCAGGGATGAGACCTGGGTTCAATCCCTAGTACTAAAGAAGGTAGAAGAAAAAGCAAAGCTAAGAGGAGTTTGACATGTGGTTTCCACAGGACATTAAAAAACTTACTGAGCTGATAGACCTGACCTTCAGGAGTCTCACAATCTGCCACCTGTGTGCGTCACACAGGGTGAAACATGTCACACGTACTGGTGGCAGACTGTGAGACTCCTGAGGGTCACAGTCTACCCAGCTTTCATATGTACACAGCACATGCATTTGTACAGAAGTGGTACTAGTAATGTGTTAACAGTTTTTTTCTTTTTTTCCCCAGAACTGGGGATTGAACTCAGGCCCTTGCGCTTGCCAGGGAAGTGCTTATTCCACTGAGCCATCTCCCAGGCCCCTGTTAGCAGTATTTCGTAGTGGAATTATCAGATAACTTTAAAAAATTTGTCTTTTCTATATATTCTGTAATTTTTCTTCAACAAACATGAATTATTTGAGCAATGAAATAAAGAAGTTAAGTTTTTGAAAACCCTTCTTGTCTTGTACAGTTGGGAAAATAGGTACATGACACATGCCTGGCTCTGTACTTTTAAATAAGCCACAGTATTCTGTATAATAGCACTTTAACCCTTACACTGAACATTTTTGTTATGTAAACATATTTCTTCCCCAATAATTCTCTCTATAAATTCTATTTATTTTATTTATTTTTTTCCAAATTTATTTATTTTATTTATTTGTGTGTGTGTGTGGCCAGCTCAGCCCACCTGGGGGCGGGGCTGGCATGTGGTACTGGGGGATTGAACCGCGGTCCCTGTGCTTTGCTAATAGGTGCTTTAGACCACTGAGCCATCTCACCAGCCCCTATAAATTCTATTTAAAAGAACATTTTCATATAGCAACAGAGCATCACCAAGAACCTGAAGTCATGAGAACTGCTGTAAACTACCTGAGCCTACGCAGAGAGACAGTGCAAGTGCAGAATGGCTCTCGCAGAAGTCAGGCACAAGACAAAAGGTCACAGTAGCCAATACTTACCATCTTGTCCTTTTTCAGGGGACTCTTCAACAACATTGATGTCAGGACCAGGATCCGAGGACCTTGAAGAACCAGTAAAATGACTCATCACTCAAAGTCAATACAGGTAAAGCCAGAGACAGGGCTCAGCAGACTAAGCACCTGCTTAGGCAAGCACAGGGGCCAGGGTTCAATCCCTGGCACCACAGGCCGTGCCCGGGCCAGCCCCCATGCGTGCTGGGTCAGGCGCCTGAGTCCAGGTGTGGTGGCACATGCCTGTAATCCCTGCTCTGGGGAGGCTGAAAACAGGAGGATCACTTCAAATTTGAGCTGCATAGTGAGACCCGGTACCAAATACGGGAAAAAAAATAAATAAGTAAATAAAATAAAGAAAAATAAAGCCAGAAACAGCTTCTCATCTAACAAGGAAACAAAGACCAGAGTCTAATAATATCAGCACTGGTAAGCTTTCTCATAATTATTATTATTATTATTTTTTTTTTTGCAGGACTGGGGGTTGAACTCAGGACCCTGCGCTTGCCAGGAAAGCACTTATACTACTGAGCTATCTCTCTGGCCCCTATGTCTTTATTTTTATTTTATTTTATTTTGTGGAACTGGGGATTGAACTCAGGCCCCTGAGCTTGCCAGGCAAGCGCTTATTCTACTGAGCCATTTCCCTGGTCCCCTAATGTTTTTATTTTTCAGGTAGAGTTTCATCACTTAGTTCAGACTGGCCTTAAACTCACTCAGCAATCCTCTTGCCTCAGCTTCCCAAGTGCTAGCATTACCGGCATGCTTACTATTGCTTATTCATATTTTGGTGCTGAGGGCCTTGCACAGCCCCATATATGATTACTATTAAGGGTGAGATGGTTAGAAAGCTTCTGTCAGAAAATCATTTTACAACTTCAAATATTATTTTCACACAAATACTTTTAATTCCATAATGTATTAAAATTAATCAAATTTTTATTTATTTGTATGTATTTAATACAGGGTCTACAGGGTCTCATTACATAGACTGGACTTGTAGTGATCCTCCTGTTTTCAGCCTCCCCGAGTACTGGGCTTACAGGAATGCGCATGCCACTACGTCCAGCCTCAGTATGCCTGGTGGCAGGGCTGGCATGCAAATTTTTAAAAGCTTTAATTTCTGGCAATTTGGCAAGGACCCACCGACTTCACTTCTCAAATTTTATTGGATAAGTCTTGTACCGAGAATCAAATTTATAACCTCAAGCTTGCCAGGCAGGTGTTGTGTTACTGAGCCATATCCTTGGCCCTATCCTATAAATCTTCCTAAATATGGGGCTGTGAGGTCCTGAGTTTGATTCCTGGTACCAAAAAAGAAACAATACATTCCTAAGTGTATAAAATTTATATATAGATGAGGCCCACAGGGAGTTGTGACAAGATGGAGTTGACACAACTGTTCTAATGCCCTGTGTGCTCTGTGAAAAACAGAAGATGAACCTAAAGGAGGCAGCCTGGCTCAGACCTTGGACCCAGGAAAGAAGAGCAGTGGGCTTCCCTGCATTTTTGTTCTGTTGCAATCATCCTGACTTTATACTAGTGGAGATGACAACATAAATGTGCCATAGGTGCAGACCAGAAACATCCCAGGAGAGCCAGATCTCCAAGTGGAGAACCAGGGGCAGCCAGTCGCACCAAACATTTGCATAGTAAGTCCCTGCTCCAACCAGCATCCCAGGGGAAAGAATGCAGCCCCACCTGCAGCTCTGCAAGAAATGGCCCAAGCAGGGTGCTGGGCTCCAGCCCGCCTGGCAGGTCTGAGAACACACCTTTCCCCCATCAGTAGGTGCATGTGTTTAAAAACTGGGGGAGAGCTAGGGGCCTAGCATAGTGCCTGCCTGGCAAGTGCAAGGTCCTGAATCTGATCCCTAGTACTCCCCCAAAATAAAACAAAATAAAATTAAGTTAAAAAAAAACCCAAAAAACTGGGGGAGCCAGGTGTGGCGACACACATGTGTAATCATAGCATTCAAGAGGCTGAGGCAGGAGGATCATTGCGAGTTCAAGATCAGCCTGGGTTACAAAGTGAGCTCAAAGCCAGCCTGAGCTGCATAGTAAGATCCTGTCTCAAAAAGACAAAAATAAAAAAAGTTGGGGGAAATCCATTCAGTGGATTAACACTTGGCAATAAAAAAAGTCAAACTACTGATACAACATGTATAAATCTCAAAATAATTATACTAAGTGAAAAGCCTGGATAAGAACAAATTCGGCACGGTTCTCCTGAACCGTGTTTAGGCAACATTCTGTAATTATAAGCATTAAGTATGAGGTCACCAGAAGGCAAACAGTGGCCGGAGATGATCAAGGTGCTGGGCCCCGGATGAGAAAGTCCTCACCTGCCCTTGATCTGTCTGTGCAGGAGCCTCCTTGAGATTTGCTTATGGACTGGAGTCTCAGCCACACTCTTGGTCAGCAGCTTGTGATAACCTACAATTTGATAAAAACAGCTTCAACTACACATTTCATTTAACCTTCTCCGGCAGTAGCATTATCACCTAGCTGGAGCACCATGCTCACAGGACTTAAGGCAGAAGAGTTTTCAGCACTATTAGAGATTCAGTGATGGCATAAGCCCATGGAAAGTGCAGCACATTTATTTCTCTAAAAAACACCCTGAGAAAATGAAAATGACTTGTTAGCTGGTTCTGGTACTGAACATTAAATGAAATAAAATATATAAAAATGATGACAAGCCATGCAAGGGTTATTAATATAAATCTACCTGGCACAGTACTCCCAATTGGGTCAGCTGAGCTACTCAAAGGAGGATGCTTCAGAGTAAGTTAAATGACCACTAAGAGGAGTGAGGTCAGCGGGGATGATGCAATGAGGACCTCAGAGAAAAGGAATGATTCCATTAAAGGAACAAAACCACCAAGCAAACATGGCAAAGCAGCCATTTTGGGACTCTAGAGATTTGTGGGCTAGTCAAACAGCTCAGCGGATTAAAGTGCCTGCAAGTAGGTGCAGGGGCCAGGGGCTGGGGGTGGGGAGGGGGTGTGTTTGATCCCTGGGCCTGCTGTGCCGGCCCTATCCCCAGGCACGCTGAGACAGCAACTGAGACTGGGCACGTGCGGTGACAAACGCCTGTGATCCCAGCTTTGGGGAGGCTGTAAACAGGCCGATCACAGAGTCCAACCTAGTAATGAGACCCTGAACACCCTGTAGACCCTTCCCTAAGATAAAATAAATAAATAAAACCCTAAGGGGGGTAGGGAAGAAAAAAGATTAGCTATAGGTTTCCAACAACACAGGAGTATTTGTTCAAGAAAAGTAGCTGGATCTTTCATAAGTAGCTTTGCAGAACTGTGAGCCTCCCAACTCAGTGGTCACTCTGAAAACCAGCAGCCTCAGGGTGTGACGGAATGGCCCAGAGCTCCTCCACACTCCCACGCCAGGTAACTGGCACCACCTGACCTGCCTGGCAGTTCCCTGGGAAATCCTGCTCCCAAGACTCAGCTCTGCTTGACCAACTCGTAACTCTTCCAGTGCAAAGCACCTTTTCCCTGGGAGCATGTACTAAAATCCTAAACATCAAAGCTGCCTGAGGTGGTGATGACTAACATATGGGAGGGAAGTTTTATACCTAAAAATTATTCAGAAATGAAGAAGGAAGTACACTGGTATATTCAACTATTCTTATGCTCTGAGATTTAGAAGAAACCCCAGACATTGGAATTACTTGTCAAAAATACCTAAGTGGCTTTGCTAAATTGGTTCCAAGAATGTATGAAACCAAGGAAAAAGAATTTTTAAGATTCAGGAAAATAATGCATGAACAAAATGAGCATATTAGTACTATAATGCAATTATAAAAGGACTGGGTATGGTGGTGCATACCTGTAAGCTCAGCACTTGGGAGGCTGAGGCAGGAGTTTAGGCTAGCCTGAACTATGCAGCAAGACCTTGTCTCAAAAAAATAAAAAGGAACCAAACAGTAATTCTGGAGCTAAGAAGTACGATGACTGTTTCGTTTTTAAGGGCTGAGGTCATCCTACATGCTAAGCACACACTACCACTGAGCTACAACCTGAGCCCCCAAAGCAGACAATAACTGAAACACGAATTCACTAGAGTTCATTCTCAAATTTGTACAGATAGAAGAATCAGTAAACTCAAAAATAAGGCAATCGGTAATCATGCAATCTGAACAGAAGGTCAAAGGAACCGAGAAAAGGGAACAAACCCTGAGGGTCATGTGGACACCTTCAGGATACAGCTGTATTTTGGCGGGAAGTCCCAGAAGGAGACACAAAGCGACAGAAACACTTTTTGAAGAAATGGTTGGAAAAAAAATAAGAATAAAAAAGTTACTATCTTTAGGAGCTGGGGAGATAGCTCAGTAGTATAAGTGCTTGCTTGGTAAGCACAAGGGCCTGATTTCAATCCCCGGTTCTGCCACAAAAAAAGAAATAAAAAGAAATGGTTGGAAACCTCCTACATCTAATGAAAGACTTCATTTCACACATCAAAGTGAGTTCCAAGAGGTATAATTTAGAGGTTCGCACGCGATCATTATGGTCAAATCATCAAAACCCAAAGACAAAGAGAGAATCTTGAAAGCAACAGAAGGCAGTGGATGACATCTTTCAAGTCCTGAAAGGAAAAATGTAGTCCATAAAAATTATACATCCTTCAAGAATAAAACTGAAGCCAGGCGTGGTGGCACATGCCTGTAAATCCCAGCACTCGGGAGGCTAAGGCAGGAAGACTGCTGCAAGATGAGACCAGACTAGGTTACAAAGTGAGTTGAAGGCCAGCCTGAACTGCATAGTGAAACCCTATCATAAATGACAAGCAAATGAAGAAGAGAAGAAGGAGGGAGGGGGAGGGATAGGAGCAGGGGGGAGAAGGGAGAGGGGAGAGGGGAGGGGGAAAAGAAGGAGGAGGAGGAGGAGGAGGAGGAGGAGGAGGGAAGAAGGAGAAGATGATGAAGTAGTAGTAGTAGTAGTAGTGAGACATTCTTGCAAAAAGGAAAGCAGACACGGCATTCGGAGGAAAGGTAGGAGTGCTTTACGCTCCACTGAAAGGATATTAGACAGCCATGAAGAGAGGTAAAGGGCCTGCAAAGTAACGCACGGGGTAATACAGAAGCCATTAGTATTGTGGCATTTTTTATTACAACTTTTTTTTAAAAAAATGTATTCAGTACAGCGTCTGCAGGGTCTCACTGTGTAGACTGGACTCGTTGTGATTCTCCTGCTTTCAGCCTCCCAAGCACTGGGATTACAGGCGTGTGCCACCATGCTCTGCTGGGGACTGAACCCAGGCCACTGCACTCTGTCTAAACAGGTGCTTTAATCTGCTTAGCTATTTGGCTGGCCCTTAAAACTCTTTTTTTTTTTCCTTTATGATTTAAAATGCAAAGGCACAAAGCAGTAATTATAAATCTCTATTATGGCCACAAAATGTTTAAGGATGTAATCTATAACATAACAATGTAAAAAGGAGAGGGAAAGAAATAATATGTAGTAACAAAATGTTTGGGTGCTACTGCTGACTTTTTTTTTTTTTTTTTGAGACTCATTTGGTTTTATGCAAAGTAGATTGCTGTAGTATGTTAATTGTGACCTCCAACCACTAAGATAGTTACTACAAAATATACAAAAATGTAAATCAAAATGGTACTCTACAAAAAATTAGCCAACAACACAAAGGGCAGTAGTGGAGGAGCTAAGGAACAAAAGCCATAAAATGGACAGAGAGCAAATATAAAAATGGCAGACAGTATTCTTAACCAATAACTACATTAAATTATGAATGGCTTAATACTGCAACAAGAAAGCAAAAACTTGTGAAAGGATTAAGAAAATACGATCCAAGTACATGCTATCCACTGGAGACTCAATTTAGATACAAAAACAGTGACTGGGGCTGGGGATATAGCTCAGTGGCCCAGTGTCTGCCTGGCAAGTGGAAGGTTCTGAGTCTGATTTGCAGTACCAAAACCAAAATAACAAAAAAGCCCACAGAGGTTAAAAGTATAAAGATAGCGAAAGATATATGCTACATAAGAACTGGGTGGCATGGCTGGGGAGATAGCTCTGTGGCATAAATACCTGCCTGGCAAGCTCAAGGTCCTGAGTTTGATCCCTAGCACCAATAAAAAAGATAATATTATAAAGATAAAAAGGTCACATGTTAATAAAAAGTGCAGCAATTATAAACATACACACCCATCTAATAATGGAATTCCAAAATACACAAAGGTAAAACTGGCAGAACTATAATCACAATAGTTGGGAGATTTTAACATACATTCAGAAATTAGACAGATGAACAAATAATCAGGTGACTTGAACGACACAATAAGGTAACTAGAAAAGTACACAACACTTCCACCAGCAAGACCAGAACATATATTCTGAAGTACACATGGAACGCTCTCTAGGACAGACCCAGTATTAGGCCATAAAATAAATCTCAATACATTTCTTTCTCTATAGTGCCACAGGAACAAACCCAGGGTCTGGGGCATGCCAGGTAAGCACTCTACTGATAAACGACACCCCTGGCCTAAATCAATCAATCAATGAATCAATGAATCAATCAATCTTTCTTTTCTTTGAGAGAAAGGTAAAAAAAGAAAATAAAAATGATACAGTTTCAAAGCAGGATAAGAAGAAATTAACAATGGTTAATGTGTTGCATATTGTTGTCTTCAAAGCAGTTGCTCAGATTACAAGATGTAGGCATGCAAAATTAATCAACCAATATAAGCACAAATGGATCTTTTCAAAGGACTAAAAGAAATTAGTAGTACAATTATGTTAGCTATCATTCATACCCCCCCACAAATCTCAGTTTATTGAGACTGAAGTTATACTATATTCTGCAATACCAATGGAATGAAACTAGAAATCAATAGATGGAATTTGAGAAACACATGAATAAGATACGACAGTAACACAAACAACCAACAGGTCAAAGAAGAAATCACAAAGGATTAGAAATTTGAGGGGCCTGGAGAGATGGCTCAGTAGAATAAACGCTTCCCTGGCAAGCGCAAGCACCTGAGTTCAATCCCTAGTTCCACCAAAAAAAAAAAAAAAAAGAAAAGAAAAGAAAGAAATTTGAGATGATGACCATGAAAACACAGATCTCAAACTTACAGGGTAGGGCAGTGCTTACAGGGGAACCTACAGCTGTAAATGCAGGCCTGTCACCTTCATCAGTAATAGGGAGAAGGAAATAAATGAAGGTGAGGATACAAAAACAGTAGAGAACAGTTCATATTCCTTAAATGACAGAACTTTTCCTTAGTTACACTGACTAAGAAAAAAAAGGGAAGACTAAATCAGGAGTCAGAGAGGGGACACCAGCACCAGGAAAGTTGTTACTGACAAGACCACGCCCTTCCTGGTTACCTGGAAATATAGTACTTTTGGTCTTCTTGATGCTGTCGCATTTATGGTCCAGACCTTCCAAGGCAGATACAGAATGACTTCTGGGCAGGCCTCGCTTTAGTGATCTCTTTGAAGGAGAAATCATTTCCTGGTTGAAGAGATTTCTTCGAACTTTGGTCACTTCTGAAAACATGGAGTGGAGGGTACAGGGAAAAAGAAAAGGGCAAACATTACATTCCATAAAACAGAGGAACTCTCATCCAGCCACAGAAGCTGCTTACCCAAACTACAGCTGGCTGCCACACCACGTATTCACATTTGTTAAGCTTTCCTCTAAGCCCTGTATGCTGGGAAGGTAAAGTTGGAGGACCACAAGTTCTAGCCTGAGCAACTTAACAGAGATGCAAGCACAAAAAATAAAACAAATTCATTAATAAAAAGGGCTGGGAATCTAGGTCATTGTGAAGGCCTCGGGCTCAACCTCCAATGTCTCAAACGAACACCTTGGATAGTACTGTCAAGGTGCCTTAAAATCATTTACTCTTCTAACTTCTGAAAGTCCTTGCATGTGACTGTGCACAAGGCAGGGATCCAACGGATTCCTCTGCGTGTGGACAGCCAGCCATTGCAGCAGTGCTTCAGCAAGACTACTCGTTCCCGAATGAGCTGTCTTTGTATCCTGCCTGAATAATCAGTTGCCCATAATAAACACTAGGGTATTAATTCTTCTTTAAACATTAGGTAGAACTTGGCAGTGAAGCCATCTAGTCCTCAGTATTTCTTTATGAGAAGCTTTTTGACAACAAATTCAATCTTTTTTATTTTTGGTACCAGAAACTGAATTCAGGACCTTGCGCTTGCCAGACAGGTGCTGTGTCACTAAGATATATCCCCACCCACACCAAGCAAGAACCCCTAATTCAATCTTTGTACTTATTATAGAGTCATTCTATTTCTTCTGAAGTCTGTTTTCAGTAGTTTGTGTCATTCTAGGAATTTGTAGCTAATCTACTGATGGATACTTGTTCAAAATTATTTCATCTATTACAAACTCATTTTGAATCCAACACGCAGGAGCTCTAGGCAGGTCTGCCTCTTTTGTTACAATAGAAGCTTTACTTGTAAAATAGAACTTTTTTTTTTTTTTTTGGCAGTACCAGGGATTGAACTCAGGACCAATATATTGTTGTTTTTTTTAAAAAAAATTATTTATTTATTTATTTATTTATGTCGTTTATTTTGCGTGTGTGGCCAGCTCAGCCCACCAGGGGGCGGGGCTGGCTGGCATGTGGTGCTGGGGGATTGAACCACGGTCCCTGTGCCCCGCTTAGCTTAGCTTGTTCTAAGTAGGTGCTTTAGACCACTGAGCCATCTCACCAGCCCCAGGACCAATATACTGTACTTGCCAGGCAGGCGCTTACATCACTGAGCTATATCCCCAGCCCTGAGCTAGGATTACAAGTGTGCACCACAACGCCCAGTCTCAATTGCCAGTCTTAGGGTGTCCTGGGGGCAGGGCTGGCATGGCAGGCCCAGGGATCAAGCCCCTGGCCCCTGCGCCTGCTTGCAGGTGCTTTAATCCGCTGAGCTATTTGGCTGGCCATAATTCTTATTATTATCTTTTTTTTTTTTTTTTTGTAGTACCAGGGATTGAACAAAGGACCCTGAGCCTTCCAAGCAAGCACTTATACTGTTTCTTTTCTCTTTTTTTTGGTGGAACCAGGGATTGAACTCAGCCTTTGCGCTTGCCAGGGAAGCACTTATTCCACTGAGCCATCTCCCCGGCCCCAAGCACTTATACCGAGCTATCTTCCTGGGCCCGGATGGCCATAATTCTTAAGTGGATAGCTAATTTAGTCATGGTCCTATTAATATATTCCAGTATTATATTTTTCCCATTTTTTACTGTATTAAATTCACCTCAGCTTTGAAAAACTGTTCTCTTCTTTTTGAGGTACTGGGGACTAAACCTGGGGTCTTTGCACTGAGCTGTTCCTGCATCCCTTTCCTTATGTTTTATTTTGAAACAGGATCTCACTACATTGTTTCCTATACTGGGCTTGAATTTGCGATCCTCCTGCTTCAGCCTTCCAGAATGTGAGGATCACAGGCGTGTGCCCCCATTCCCCGATGAGAAACGTCTTTTCAATTCTACAGCTTTCACTCTTCTGACTGCTTTACTAATTTAGATAATTTCAAAATCTGTCCCTGACTCAGGCTCAAAGTGAGGGAAAAACCGCTGCAAAGTGGATCAATTCTTAAAGCAGCCAGCAAAAGGGCTGCTTAACTGTAAGCAAAACAGCCTGCTGGAAGTGACTTTAAAATTCACCTGGGGTGAATTTAAGTTTGTGCAGCCATCAAAAATAATATAAACATTAACGTTTAGGACACCAATAACACAAACCAAAGTTTGAAAAGGTGGATTTTCTCTATCCCATTAGAAGAGTGCTTGTTATCTGACTTATGCTGTCTGTGAAACTAATTTATGAAAGCCTAAAAGCCAAAATTGATGCTATTTTCTATTTGCATTTTAAAAATTTACTATTTACAGAAAATATGTAAAAATACAACAATCCTGCATCACTAAAATTTACTGTGACATTTGTTTCTTGCCTCCACTTCTCTGTGTACAGTTTGCCTGACCCTGGGGAATTGAGTGGTGGCCTTCAGAGTTCTGTGCCCACTTGGCAGCATGACCTAAGAACGAGGACATTCTCCTGGACAATCCTGACGTCATTATACAGGCGCAATGTGCTGCCAGCATGCAGTCCTTTCTCTAATTTCTGGCTCAATAATGCAGCGTTTTTCCTTTCTAAATTAGAGATCCAGGCAGGAATCATGGAGTGATTAAGACGCTTGCTTCAACTCCTTTCATCTAAAGCAGCTCCACTGCTTCTCTGCTTTGCTCTTTGGCCTTCACGAAAATGATATTTTTAAAGATCTCTGACTAGCAATTTTGTACAATGCAGTATTTTTGAGACCATATGAGTATGTAATCCCACTAAGGCATGGAATTTGGACATACTTTATTAACCAACAATGACATAACGCTATAGTTTATAATTGAATGCAGCTGCTTAAATACATGAACTCAAAATAAATTTGTCCTTCCAGCGAATCAGTCAAAACCCTGGGAAAACAAAGCATACCTTGTCCTGTGCCTTTTGCTGGGAGTGCAGGCTGCTGAGGGGCAGGGTGAGAGCTCTCCTGAAAAATAAGGAAGTGCTGTAAGCATTCATTTAAAAGAAAAAAGTTCTATATGAAACCCTTTAGTCCTTGCAGTTCACTCATAGATCCATAGTAGGAAAAATAAGACGTACTAGGGAGATATTCTTAGGAGAGGTTTTATTTATTTTTTATGTATTTGGTACAGGGTATCACTATGCAGCTCAGACTACTAGTGATCTTCCTGTTTACAGCCTCCGCAGTGCTGGGATTACAGGTGTGCACCACCACGCCTAGTCTCGATGGCTGGTACAGCATGTGGTGCCAGGAATCAAACCCCAGTTCCTACACTTGCCTAAGCAGGCACTCAGTCTGCTGCACTATCTTGGTGGCCCTTAAAAGTCCTTTTCTAGGATGCAACCAAAGTCCGATTGTGATAGTAGATGGTTACTGTAATGTTAATTTTTCTTAACCAATTTAATGATTTTTGGGGCTGGGGAGATGGCTCAGTAGAATAAGCACTTGCCTGGCAAGCACAAGGGCTTGAGTTCAATCCCCAGTTCTGCCAAAAACTAAAAATAAAGATTTTTAATTAATTTATTTACTTCTAACTTACTTTTACCTTTGTCAGACTATTAGGCAAAATGACTAATCCCTTAACAAATTTATATTCATTCATAAAAATATTTAACACTACCTGAGCATTTCTAATCCAAAATCTGAAATCTAAACTGGCTAAAACACAAACTTTAAAAATGTTCCACACCTAGGTCGGTGATATAGCTCAGTGGACTAAGAGCTTGCTTAAGCAAGCACATGGGCCGGGGTTCAATCCCTGGCACCGTATGCCATGCTGGCCCCTCCCCCAGGGCACTGAGCTGGTGATGGAGTCCAGGCATGGTGACGCACACCTGTGATCCCCTCAGAAATCAGGGGGATCACTGTGAGTCCGAGCTGTGTAGTGAGACCCTGCACAAAAAAACAAAAACTACAAATTTTCCATACTACATACAAATAATCCAGAATCCAAAAACATCGCTGAAATCTAAAATACTTCTGGTCTCAGGTATTTCAGATAAAGGATACTCAATCTGTACCGTTTATACATTTCAATGCCCATTTCCTAAGAGTGAGAGTTTTCTTTTCTTTTGCTTTTTTTGACACAGGGTCTCACTATGTAGTCCAGGCTGGCCTCCGACTGATGGCCAACCTCTGCCTCAGCCTCCCGAGAGCCGGGATTACAGGGGTGTACCATGACGTCTAGTTTGCCTTTCATTTTTTTTTTTTTTTAAAGGACAGGTTTATTTAGCCCATAGTTTGTGAAAGTTTCAGTCCAAAGCCTTTCATTTTTATTAATAACGTTAACTCAGGATGGAAAGACCAACTTGGTGCCATTTCAAATTTATTGGAGAATACTTACATTTTTTGTAGTTCTCTTGGATACTTTGGGAATTTCAATTTGTCGGAGATTCTGTGAAACCTCTGCAAGACTTTTATGTCTTATTATTGCATTTTTCCTTTTAAAAATAGAAAGAAACTAGTCAAGACACACCAGACAGAAGTTACATACAGTTAAATTTGAATGGAACTAGCATTTTTCTTTTATTAATGTATTTGGTACAGAGTCTCACTATGCAGCTCAGACTCGTAGTGATCTTCCTGATTCCAGAGCTAGAATTATAGACAATCTTTGGGAACTAATACATGCAAAGGAATTAGTATATATTAATATAATTAAAGAGATATACTCAAAGGGCTGGAGAGATGGCTCCGTGGTCTAAAGCACCTACTTAGAACAAGCTTAGCAAAGCACAGGGACCGCAGTTCAATCCCCCAGCACCACATGCCAGCCAGCCCCACCCCCTGGTGGGCTGAGCTGGACACACACACACACACACACACACACACGTAAATAAATAAAAATTAAAAAAAAAAAGAGAGAGATACTCATAGTAGTGAGACCCTAAACACCTTGTAGACCCTTCCCTAAAATTAAAAAAAAAAAAAAAAAATAATAATAATAATAAAACCTTATTTAAATAAAAGTCAGAACTATTCAACATGGAGGTGGAGGTCAATAAACTGCAACTGATGTTCCAGAAAGCTTAATCTGGTCTGGATTATATTCAGGTTGGAATATGAAATCAAGTCTAATCATCATGACTCAGCAAGAAAGAAAAATCCAGTAACGCTCTTAAAGAAATTGTCAGCAATCAAGTCTCGATACCAAACTTTGTATGCACGTTTTAAACCTGTTGCTACTGAACAGAAAGAGACTAAGAGCTGCATTTATACTACTTTGAATAAGACTATGACCACAATAGAAGAACTACAAAAGCAAAGAGATGTGGCGCTGTTACCACTGACTGAAGAAGAAAAAACTGGAACAGAACAGTTAAAATCTCACATGCCACACTTATGAATAAATGGAATTGCAAAAGAGAACTCTAATGAAGAGATTAATTCCAGAGAAATATAAAAAGATGTCTTGTTAATAGTTCATGAGTATAGGTGGGGGAGTCAGAGGAGGAGCAGGAGGCTTGGTTTGAGTGAGTAGGGAGTGATTCCTTTCATAAGACAAGGATTAAGAAGGGCAGATATTACATTAATAAACTTCAGCCAAAGGGTGGAGTGGAAATAAAGATTTTGTAATTTTAATTAAGGAAGTCCCTTAATACTAATTTTGTATCCGTTTTCTTTTTGTATTATTGGGATAAGATATTCTGGCTTATCATAAAAGAGTTTGTATTCCCTGGCAAGCACAAGGGCCTGAGTTCAATTCCTAGTTCTGCAAAAAAATAAATAAATAAATAAATAAATAAAGAGTTTGTACATTTTAGTCTGTCATTGAGTGAATGAATGTACACTGGGAATTAAAGTATACTATAAGCAATAAACAAATAAATAAGTCAGTTGTCTTGGTATTGTCCTGGATTTATATCAAAACAAGTCACCACTAGCATTTCCAAAAATAACTATTAGAAATCCAGCTAGTTAATAGCCATGGAAAACATCCAAGGAAGATTGGAAAAGCGTGGCAGAGATACAGCTCAGAGGCACAAGCACCTGACTGGCAAGTGCAAGGTCCCAAGATTGATCCCCGTACCATTAAAAAAAAAGAAAATTGGAAAAGCTTAAGCTTATTTCATAAATGCCTCCTAGTTCCTAGAGACCCCTTGTGGAACTACAAAATCGTGACTGCATATTTCCTAGGAAGGAGTGTCAGATGCCACTCGGCAAGAACTCAGATAGTTGGCTTCTGTGAATCAGACTTAAGGGAGATCAGTAATTCAGTTACATAGACAAAGATAACAGACTATGTTTAAATGCACCCTTTGTCTGAACTGTATGACTGATAGGGCAAGTGACACCTGAGCGCTCACCTCTTCTTGGCTGATCTGGTCCGGAGCTGCTCCAGCTGGTCAGCTTCGGTGCTGCTAGACAATGATCTGTGAGCGGTTGACAGAAGAGGCTCGGAAAGAAGTGGGGATTTACTCTCTTGTGTCATAGAGTCATCACTGAAAAAGTCTGGAGGAAGGACCCCAGCCAGCTTCTCAGGAATCTCAAACCCAAGGCTGTTGTAAAGCTTCCCCAGCGTGTCTGGGATGGAGTCAATGTACCTGTGGATTAGACTGGTTAGGCACAGAACAGTAACCACCCCACACTTCTGTTGCTCTTCACTCAGCATGAGGGTCCTCAGCCCCACAACTCCAGACAAAATCTCTTAGAAAGCAGTGAGTAGCCACCAAACTTACAATTTCAAAATCTCTTCCAGAAAATGTGCCAAGTATGCTGGGTCCTCAGTTAGACACACTATGCGCAGGAAAGCTGTCACCTGAAGGACATTTTAGAAAATTACCACGTACCCTCTGCAGGAGCACTGAAAGCACTGGGGTCCGTTCCCAGCAGCACTAAGATATGTACTCACCTCTTCCACTACTTGCTCCATCTCATCTGGGTTTTCTAGTATGGAAGGGCACTGCAGACACGTCTCCAGACGAAGAAATACCTGAAGCTGGCACCTTGAGAGAAAAACACTCAGTCATGTCTAGGTTGACTGCCCATTAACTGAAAACTTTTGGCACACATGTATCTGTGTAAGAAATAATGACCAGTAAGAAGAGCCATCACTTTCTCTAATTACTGACGTGCTTGAAAGGTAAGTAAGTGACATGTGAGAACATCACAAAAGATCAACTAAGAAGCATCTCCAAGCAATTGGTGATCTTAGATTGCAACAAATGTTGGAGCTTTGTTTTAGAGCAAAATTTTAAAATTAAGTAAGTGGAAGTTACTTACTCTCTGACTTCATCTTCCTTATCCAGTTTTTTCCCCAGATTCTGTCGGAGACTTTTGCTAGTTTTTAAGAGGTCACTTTTTATATGATTCAGGCAGTTCACCTAGAAATACAAATTATTACATAGCAGGATACCCAAGTTACTTATCACTATTTCTAATTTCTTTCATGCTGACTACTGCCCCAAATAGGGAAATATATTTCCTTACACATTTCTCCTTTTCCTTCATTTGAATGAAAAACAGTGAAATTAATATTCTCTAATATCATGAAAAAGAACATGAGACACAGGATTCATGAGCATGTGGACATGGACAGGGCAATCTGTGGACTGAACTGACTTAACAGGAAGGTTCCATGAAATGCTCATGGAGAAGTGTAAATTTTTAAAAACCACTCCTGCTTACTTTAGGAGAAGCCCAGTTTTGCCAATCAACATGAACAAAAATAATGAAAACATAGCTTACAACCAAGTTTGCAGTACTGCCAGGCACTGCATCTAGGGAGTTTCAAGAATTACTTGGGGCTGGTTGAGATAGCTCAGTGTACTAAAGTGCCTGCTTAGGCAAGTGCAGGGACCGTGGTTCGATTCCTGGCACTGCCAGCCTCGCCCTCAGGGGGTGCTGAGCCAGCCAGAGTACAGGCATATGCCCGAGAAGTGGCATGTGCCTGTAATCTCAGTGCTGGGAGACTGAAAGCAGGAGGATCACTGAGTCTGTGCTACACAGTGAGACCCTGTAACAACCAAATACATTAAAAAAAAATAATAATAATTACACATGAACCCGAGTCTCAAGCCAAACTGTTTAAGAAAACAATAAATAAATAAATAAATGCTCTTAGTGATTGCGAAAGGCAGTGAGGGCTAGAAACCAATGACTTGATTTGTGCAGCTGCCATGCAGTTCAAATGAGCAGAACTTTGACAAGGTGAGACACGTGAACTTACCCCGCCCCAACACCCCTTTCTTTGTTTCCACCTTTCCAGGTCACCATGCCTGCCTTGTAGAGACCTGGAATTTTCCTCCTCTCTTGCTCATCCTATCATGTTTGGATCATGGACAGCACAACAGACATTTCCAAGACATGTGAACAAACCCACCAACACCTGGATTTTCTTACTTCTACTTCCTCGGTGCCTTTTGATTTTAGGAACACTTTGATAGTGGAGATCAAGTTCTGAGCACATGAATATAACATGATTTCTGTTGTGGCCACAGTCTTTTGGTAATTTTCATGTAGGTAGGATAGCAGCTCCTCCTCAGTTTTAAAATCTGTGGGGAAAAAAAAAAACAAACAAAAAACACCCTAAATTAATGGCCACATTCAACTTCTTATGTTATTTATGCCAGTGGTTGTCAGCTGGGGGAAGTTCTTGCCTCCTAGGATATCTGACTAGGTACTGCTGTGGTGGATTACTGTGCTCTAGGATTCCAACTATATTATACTATTGGGAAAGGAAAAAAACAATGGAGACAACAGAAAGTGGTTGCCCGGGATTAGGGAGAAGGGAAGGTGACTAGCTGGATCACCAACGATTTCTGATTTCTCTATGTGTCTCGTTTCTACATGTTTGAACATTCAACATTCTTAAGCTTTTTTGTATCAATGTACATTATCTATAACTGAGATGATTGCATTAACCTAATCATTTAGCTTTGTCAAAATTTACTTCTGTTGGGGCCAGGAAGATGGCTCAGTAGAATAAGCGCTTCCTTGGCAAGTGCAAGGGCCTGAGTTCAATGCCTGGTTCCGAAAAAAAAAAAAAAAAATTTGTAGTCCTGTAAATTTTTGCATTGTTATTAGATTCATAAGAATTCAAAATTGCTTATCTTATGATTGTTTTTTGTCAATAAGTAATTTTTTATGCCTTTATGACTTTATTTTTAAAAATTATTTATTTATTTATAAATTTATTTATTTGGTACAGGGTCTCACGTAGCTCGGCTTGTAGTGATCCACCTGTTTACAGCCTCCCAAGAGCTGGGATTACAGGAGTGCACCACCACTCTCAGTTTCAATTGCCATCTCAGTGCACCCCTGTGGCAGAGCCAGCATGGCAGGCCCAGGGACTTTTTTTTTTTGTATTTGGTACAGGATCTATAGAGCCTCACTACACAGATCACACTCGGAGTGATTCTCCTACTTTCAGCCTCTCAAGCACTGGGATTACAGGCGTATGCCACCACACCCAGTCTCAATCAATGTGTCAGCGCACCCCAGGGGTGGGGCAGGCACAGTACTCCGGAAATAGAACCCTGGGCCCTGCATCTGCCTAAGCAGGCGCTTTAGTCCACGGAGCTATCTGGCCAGCACTCAATGTAGACATCTTGCACTTCCTTGATTAATTCCTCCTGAGCATTTACTTTTTGTTGATATTACCGTGAATGGTACTGTTTTCCAATTTCTTTCTTGGGTTCAGTAACAAACATGTGGACCAATGGAACAGAATAGAGGACACAGAAACAACCCACCACACACGCAGCCACCTGATCATTGAAAAAGGGGCCAAAAACACACTAGAAGAAAGCCAGCCTCTTTAACAAACCATGCTGGGAAAACTGGCTATCTACACGTAAAATATTAAAATCTGTATTTTCTTTCTTTTTTTTTTTTTTAAATGTATTTGCTACAGTGTCTCACTATGCAGCTTGGACTTGTAGTGATCCTCCTGTTTTCAGCCTCTCTAGTGCTGAGATTATAGGTGTGCACCACCATGTCCAGTCTCAGTGTGTCCAGGGGGTGTATAGCATGTGGTGCCCAAGATCAAACCCAGTCCCTGAACTTGCATAAGGAGGCCTTAGTCTGTTAAGCTATCTTGCCGGCCCCCACATGTATGTTTTTTTTTTTTTTTTTGGTGGAACCGGGGATTGAACTCAGGTCCTTGCGCTTGCTAGGGAAGCGCTTATTCCACTGAGCCATCTTCCCCGCACCCCCCCCACATGTAAAAGAGTGAAGCTAGCCCCACTATCTTTCACCATGTACTATTTTTTTTTTAATTTTTATTTATTTATGTGAGTGTGTGTGTGTGTGTGGCCAGCTCAGCCCACCAGGGGGCAGGGCTGGCTGGTATGTGGTGCTGGGGGATTGAACCGCGGTCCCTGTGCTTTGCTAAGCTTGTTCTAAGTAGGTGCTTTAGACCACTGAGCCATCTCACCAGCCCCTCACCATGTACTATTATCTTCCTGAATAAATAAAAGTTATCATACTATCGTGATACACACTCATGTTTACAGAAGCACAATTCATAATGGCTAAATCCTGAAGCAGCCTTCAACAGATGAATGGATAAAGAAAAGCGGCACTCACATAGAATGGAGAACCATTCTGATTTAAAGGATAAATTTGAGTCATTTGTGGGAAAATGAAATGTACTTTAAATCCAAAATAGTGAAATAAATTAGACACACAAGCCTAAATATTGTATTATCTTATATGAGAAACCCACCATACTGTAAGTCAATCAAAGAACAAAATGGAAGGCAATAGGAAATAGGGAGATTGACTTTCACAAAAGGGAAAGGGAAAAAGAGATGTTGAGAGAAGGAAGGGGAGAAGCGGAAGGAGATGGAAGGCAAATGTGTTCCAACAGAGTTTTAAATAAACAAACCAACAAACTGAAATGCTAGAGAATGGAGGAATACCTTTTGGTTTAGAACTTCTTAATGATCTTCCCCTGTCTTCCAGCTTATCTGCTGTTCTTCCACTGACTGTCTTTTGGATCGCTTTCTCCCCAGGCGCATCTGGGCTGCCACCTGGCTGTGACTTCTGAGCCTTTACATTCAGCCTGGCAACATTCAACATCTTTAGGGAGCGACACATGGCATTCATCTTCTGCCTCACTGGAGTGCGAGGGATGCCTCCTGCCAACGGGACAGCAGGAAAGAAATGTCAACTAGCTTCCTCTTCTGCGGAATCAAGTGCTACTTTAATTCAGATGCCATGAAAAAACAATGAAGTCTGCCCCTTCAGAATGGTTGGGATTATGTAGCTCTTGAATCTTTTTCTGTCCAAACCAGAGTAGAAAGTCTTTATAACTGACATTTAGTGAAACTATAAAAGACAATTCAGCAATCTGCATCAAGAACCAGCTTTCATATTATTTAACACAGTAAACTGTCCTAGAAACTTCTAAGGAAAGCACTCAAACGTGCACAATACACACTGTGGTATTATTCATGAGAACAGAAAACAATCTAAATGCTTGACACAAGAATTTGTAAATTTCATTAACCAAAGAGGCAGAATAAAAGGCAAAGGAGCGGATGAACAAATATTTATATGGCAAATGAGATAGTAGTTAAATTTCTATTACTAAAAGTAAAGGTAGTTTAGTAGGAAGGACTGTGGATGATTATTTTTATCATCATGGGCTGTGATTATCTTCAAATCTAAAAATATAAGAATTTGCCCTTGTTTATTTAGTTACATATTAATCTCATTTCAGGGAATGTCAATCTTTTAAAATGTAGTCTCCAAAGTCGGCAGGCCTTAAGAAACAGCCATCCTACGTGCTTACGTCTCTTTCTGGTATCTTCTTGGTTAGCTACCGTAGATTCTTCCCGAGATTTTCTCTGGTAGAGCTCGGATAGGCAACATGTTAACTCACTTTCAGTTTTGGAAGACTGTTCCTTATCAGCTGAGGCAGCCTGTAATAACCTGCAAAGTCAAGATGTCTATAATAAAACAAAATTCTAATTTTCCAAAATGTTTTGAAAATGAACAAAACAGGAAAAAAATTCTATTGTCCTCTTAAAAACTAATCAATGGCTATTCCCACAGGGTGCCTTCAAAACAGTTTTTCTCAGGAAGAAAAAAAATGCCCTCTACTCATTTTTGTCTTATTTTTAATAACACAATTAGTGACTTTAGGTATCTTACAACAAACTCTCCCAGCTAATCTCTTCCTGGAATTTGTGTGGGAATTTGGAGGCTGGCCAGTGGTCGATATGTCCAAAAGGACACCACCAGACCAGTACTATGATTCCAAGTTATTCTCTGGCTACATGATGCTTATGTGAATAGCAAGATCTGAATGCAAAACACAGACAGACACTGCTACCAGACACAGACAGAAACTATGCACACATTACAGCAGCCATTCCTTCTCTCACTTTTGATTTGACTAAACTCAAGGGTCAAAGGTGCCTTGCTCACAAAACTGTTTATCTAACATTGACCTTTATTAATAGGATTCTTCAAGAACTATGGTACTCATGTAATTATGACAGCCATTTCACACCTGGGCTTCCACAGTTTTTAAAACTCAAGTTTTCATACCTTAAAGTATAAAACAGGAGCCAGGGAGATGGCTCAGTAGGATAAGCTCTTCCCCAGCAAGCGCAGTGGCCTGAGTTCAATCCCTGATTCCACCAAAAAAAAAAAAAACAAATAGTACAAAATGATGTCGTCCACTAAACCGAGTACTGTAATCACTGCTGAATTAATTCCTTTGATTAAAAACAACTAATGTGGGATTGATGAGAAAAGGAGGAAGATGAATAGGTGAGATGTTAGGTTACTGAATGGTTATCTACGTGAGCTAAAGATCAGTCACCAGGGAAATTATAAAAAGGTACAACATTCAAAAATGTATTATTTGCATTTCAATATTTCTTATTACATAAGATCATCGGATTCAAAGTGGGAGAAAGTTACAGTGCTGTTGGCTGACTAGCGATCACAAATCAGAACATATGCAGGGACACCAGCTCCATGCGTGTGGCTGGTCTGCAATGACTCCATTCTCAGGGTACAGTGGGTCCTCTAACAGAGACAGCATTTGCTGGTTTTTCATTCTGCTGTTACTTTTCAAAACACAATCCCTTCAACTAGAAAAAGCACAGATAACAGTAATATCAATAGAGAAATACATACCTCTCCCTCAAATTAAATACTTAACAGTTTCTCATAGCTGCTTCAGATCCTTTTTCAAAGAAGCTAGGTGTATGTAATAGGCACAGCTAATGCCTTACTTCACGCTTCCCCTCTTTCCCCATGGGAATTCCTAGATTTATGTGTATCTTAGACATAGTTACATAACAAAACTAGCACAAACTGCTACTTTATGTTGTAAATTCTACATAAATATACCTTTTGCAATTGCTTGTGGTCAACATATTTTTCTTTCTTTAAACTTATGTATTTGGTACAGGGTCTCACTACACATGTCCTGTTTTTCAGCCTCCCCAGTGCTGGGATTACAGGCATGCACCACCACACCTGGACTCCGTCACTGGCTCAGCATGCCTGGGGACAGGGCTGGTGCAGCATTTGGTGCCAGGGATTGAACCCAAGTCCCTGCACTTGCCTAAGTAGGCGCTTAGTCCCCTGAGCTATCTTGCTGGCCCTTTTCAACATATTTTTAGTTTTGCATGTATAAATAGCTCTAGTTTATCAATTTTACTAATCTATATATAATAGTCTACTATACGATTCTATCATCATCCATGTCCCTTTTTTTTTTTTCCATGTTCCTTTCGATGGCTAATTGGTTCTCAACGATGTTTTTCACTATTAGTGACTGGTGATAAACAGGCTTTTGTGCATCTAAGAATGCTTTAATATAAAAGTCTAGAAGTAAATTTTTGGTTAGCACAAGTTTTGTTTTGTTTTGTTTTTTAATTTTATTTATTTATGTGTGTGTGTGTGTGTGTGGCCAGCTCAGCCCACCAGGGGGCGGGGCTGGCTGGCATGTGGTGCTGGGGAATTGAACCACGGTCTCTGTGCTTTAGCTTAGCTTGTTCTAGGTAGGTGCTTTAGACCACTGAGCCATCTCGCCAGCCCTGGTTAGCACAAGTTTATGGTTTCTGCTTACTAAGAATTTCTACACTGTCCTTGAAAGTGATTAGAAGTATTTATACTTCCACCACCCAACCTTCATATTTTCTTGGGTGGTTCTATCATATTTATTAATTTTTTTTTTTTTTTTATTTGAGAGCGAGAGAGACAGAGACAGAGAGAGACAGAGAGAGAGTGAGTGTGTGTGGTGTGTGTGTGTGGCCAGCTCAGCCCACCAGGGGGCAGGGCTGGCTGGCATGTGGTGCTGGGGGATCGAACCGCGGTCCCTGATGCTTTGCTAAGCTTGTTCTAAGTAGGTGCTTTAGACCACTGAGCCATCTCTCCAGCCCATATTTATTAATTTCTGACAATCTTTTTTTTTTCTGGAACCGGGGACTGAACTCAGGCCTTTGCACTTGCCAATTTTCTGATAATTTAATAGGTACAAAGTAGGACTTTTTAAGGGCTGCCCAGATAGCTCAGTGAATTAAAGTGCCTGCTTAGGTAGACACAGGCACCGGGGTTCAATCGCCAGTGTGCTGTGCCAATCCCACCCCCAGGGCATGCTGAGACAGTGATTGAGATTGGACATGGTGGTGCGCGCCTGTAATCCCACTGCTTGGAAGGCCAAAAACAGGAGGATCACTACGAGTCCGATCTGTGTAGTGAGATCCTGTACTAAATACATTTTTAAAAAAAGGACTTTTAAAATGTCTGTCTGCCAGAGTGGAGTGCCTTCAAATGACTGCTGTCAGGTTTCCTCTTGTGTAATTTGTTTGCTGGCATTCCTGGTATAATTTTTAATTGTATTGCTTCTCTTATGGATTTTGAGGACTTCTGCACTCATTTGGACATTAAACCTCTATTGCATAGATAGTTTGCAACTACCAACTTCTATAACTTGTCTTTATACTTTAATACTCAAATTTTAAAATTTATTATATAGTAAAATCTATCAATCCTTTCTTTTGGTTTGAATTTTAGTTTAAAAGAAATCCATCCTTGCTGGACATGGTGGTGCATGCCTATAATCCCAGTACTTGGGAGGCTGAGGCTGGAGGATCACTGTGTGTTTGAGGCCAGCCTGAGATACACAGTGAGGCCCTGTCTCAAAAAAAAAAGAAATCCTTAATCTCAGGGTTTTTTTATTTTCTTCAGCAATAGTAAAGTTCTGCTTTTTCTAATTTATTCTTTATTAGGAACTTATTATACATTCTGTGAGGTAGAAAACTAATTTCTATCTTTTTCTTATGGGTAGCCAATTGTCATATCACCATTTAGTGAACTGGACCTATTCTTTGTTTGTAATGCTATTGTTGTCACTCTTTAAGTTCCTATACACAGACAGCTCACATTCTGGACTCTATATTTGTTCACTGATCTTCTGGTGCACCAATGGCGTACTGCCTTATCTACACAGAGCCCTGCAGCAAATATGCCTATCTCATAGAGGGAACCTCCTTGTCTGTCTTCAACATTCATTCATTCATTCATTCATTCATTCATTTATTTATTTATTTATTTATTTATTTATTTATGGTACTGGGAATCGAACTCAGGAGCTTGTGCTTCCCATGCAGGTACTGTGCGGTTGAGCTGTATCTCTGCCCCTCATCCTTTATTCTTATTTCTAGATACTTTAGTTTTGGTGGTGCTGGGAATGGGAATCAGACCTGGTCTGGTATATGCCACAAGGGCTCTACCTCCAAGGCACACCCCCAACCCTCTTAATTTGTTGATATAAATTATACCCGTCTTTATAATTAAAGTGTTTGCTATAGACATACTATTAACTTCATACATTGATTTCTACATATAGCAATACTACTGATTTCTCTTATCCCTTTAATCATTTACCATCATTCAGATTCTCTATGAAGATAACCATACTGTTTTTAAATATATTACTATTTATAACTCATGAAAATATGTAAGAGATAATTTTTAAAAATAATATGGCTCAGTTTGTACACTGAAAAAAAAAAAAAACACAAAACACTATAAAGGATCTTAAAAGAAATGTGAGAGTGTATCATGTTCATGGGTCACAAGAGTCAACACTGGTTAAGAGGACAGTCCTTCCCAAATCTAGCTGATTCAATACACTCAAGGTCAAACTAATTCTATATTTCATATAAAAATATGAGAGATCCAGGGCAGAGGATATAGCTCAGTGGTCCAAGCACCTGACTAGCAAGCGCCAGGTCCTTAGTCTTGGTACCAAATAAATAAATAAATGATCTAAAATACCCAAAACACTTTATCCAAACAATTTGAAATTTGAAAGGCAAAAGAAAAAAATAATAAAGTACTTACTCTACCTCATGTAAAGGACTTACTATAAAGTTACAGTACATGCTATTGCTCAAAATGCAATATTCACAACAATGTGGTATTAACACAGTTTCTAACTGGCATGAATATTCCAGTGATGCCAACCTTTTAGAGACTGAGTGCCAAACTGCAATGCAAAACATTATTTCTCACCAAGTGCCAACACTGCAACTGACCTTCAATACTGAGGCTTTAGCTTAGAATCAACAACTATTACCGGTGCGCAGTTGCTGGGGTGGCTTGGCTCGTGCGCTAACAGAGGGCTCTGCCTGCCCACGGTGGCCCGCACACATGGATTCATCCCCACTGCTCTATTATCTCTAGAAATAGGCCCACACAACAGCAATCAACTGATTTTGACAGAGGTGCCAAGCAATTCAATGTGAAAGTGATTGTCTTTAACCAACGGGCAAGTATGCTGGCGCACGCCTGTACCATTACATGAGTACTCTGGGAGCTGAGGCAGAACTGCAAGGTCAAGCCCAGGCTGGACAACTTAGTCAGACCCTTTCTCACACCTAAAAAATAAACAAGGGCTGGGGATGTAGCTCAGTGCAAATATCTTGGGTTTAATTCTCAATACTTCCCAAAAAGGGGGGAAAATGTAATAACTAGCTACTTCAGTGGAAAAAAATATTCTTAACCTTGCCCCTCAGTAGAGTTTTGTTTGCCTATTTTGGTTTGGTTTTTTGAGACACGGTATCACTATGTAATTCAGGCTGGCCTTTAACTCATGGCAACCCTCCTGCTTCAGGCGCTGGAGAGCTGGGACTATGCCATCACACTCAGCAATAACAAGTTTGAATTTCTTTTCTTCCACTTTTTGAAGACAAAGCCTTGCTACATAGTGAGTTCAGGTTAGCCTTGAACTCACTATGTAGCTCAAGCTGGCCTTGATCTTGTGATGATCCTCCTGCCTCAGCCTCTGGACTGTTAGGATTACAGGTGTGCGCCAGCATGCACAGCATTATCTTCTTCATTTTTAATACTGTCTTTTTTTTCTAATGGTTCAATCTTACTACAATGTATTTTGTTTAGCTTTTCAAAGAGCTGTCTTCAGTTTCTTTCTTTTTTTTTTTTTTAAACAAGTCTTTTTTTTTTATTTATTTTTATTTATTTATTTTTTTATTTATTTGAGAGAGAGAGAGAGAGAGAGAGAGAGAGAGAGAGAGAGAGAGTGTGGTGTGTGTGTGTGTGGCCAGCTCAGCCCACCAGGGGGTGGGGCTGGCTGGCATGTGGTGCTGGGGGACTGAACCGCGGTCCCTGATGCTTTGTCAAGCCTGTTCTAAGTAGGTGCCTTAGACCACTGAGCCATCTCTCCAGCCCTGTCTTCAGTTTCTATGTTTTACTTCTGTTTGGATCATTTTATGCTTTCCTTCATTTGGGGAAGGGATATAGTTCAACTCTCTTCTTTACTTCCTATGTTAGGTTCTTAGTAACTGATTTTTAACTTTTGTTCTTTATAAAATTCAGCTGTACTACACAGACTCGCTACTTCCTATTTCATTGATGTTTCATTCTGAATGGTTTCTGACTTCCATAATACACAGGAGTGTTTTATTTATATTTGACAAGTTTTAGCCCACATGCAGAAAACCGAGAGTTGATTCCAAAAATTAACATCCAGAGAAAGAAAAAAAGTTTATTTACCAAAATGACTCCATCAGATCTGAACTAACACCACTGACGTTAGAGAAAGGAAACCACTTCTCCAGGACAGCTGGGCTCCAGGGAGTGGTGCGGCCGAGCTCCTGCTGAGCCCACTCTGGAACAGGGGGAGCTGCGTGAACACAGGGCAGGGGCAGTACAGGACAGGTTAGCACCAAGCAGAGCTCCAGGGACCTGCTCCTTCTCTGCTTTTTTTTTTGTACTGATTGAACTCAGGACCTTGTGCTTGCCAGGCAGGTGCTTAAGCAACTGAGCTGTCTCCCCAGCCCTCCCTGCTCCTTCTCTGGATCAACTGCCTCCCTTGAGACTTAAAAATTGGCGTAACAACATTTATTTATCCCACCATCTATGACTAAAGGCTGACACTGTGAAAAATGCACAAGCACAAGGTAAAGCGTTTGTTTGTTTTTTTTTAAATGTATACAGTACAGAGTCTCACTATGTAGCTCAGATTCGTAGTGATCCTCCTGTATTCAGCATCCCCTGTGCTGGGATTACAGGCATGTACCACCATGTCGGGGCTCAACAGTACACATTTTCTGTAATAGAGCTAACGCACAATCAGTAAACAAAGTAATGTCATCTGAACAGAGTATTACCTTGTGTGATTATTCCTAAGGGCTAACACTTACTAATGCCTACTAGCAGCAGCTGGAGGAGACTAACAGCTAAATTTTAAAAAGCCAGAGGAACAAACTACCATACCCTTCCTGCCACACTCTTCTTGCTTGTCTGGCCACTTGCTCTTTCTAGAATGTGCTTACTATGTAGTTCTCAATCTTTGTCATGGCATGTCCATAAACTACAACAATCTCAACTCCTTCTCTGCTCCTCCCATCACATTATCTTTTTAAAGAACAAAGTATATATATTACAGAGTTGACTTATTATGAATTTAATGTGTCCTTTTAATGGAATTAGACTACTCATTGGGATTGCTATTAGTTTTTGTTACCACCAAAGATTTTGAGAAATCTGTCCCAACCAGTTTTCTCAAAGCTATTATTTTTAGAATAAGGATTTGTAGAATTTTTTTTAAGAAACCTCACATCCCATTATAGCATGAATTCCTGTAATTGCACTTGCTACGTCACATTAACACATTCAGGCAATGGCAGTAAGGTCTGTGGGAATAAGCACAGAAGAAATGAATACCCCAGTTAGTACACCGCTCCCTCAATCCTTCAGCCCCTGTAACCCACGGATCTACCTCTTCTCTCGGTTGTGCTGTGCTCACTTCCCCGTGCACCTCCACTGTAACTCCTCCCTTTCTGTTCCCACTTGGGAACCCACTGCCTATGCTAGCTGCACTGTCCTCACTTTGCAAAACCCCAATTCTGGCTACTCCAGTTACAGCATGCTCTGTAACTGTCCCCAGCACGTGACAGTGCTGAATGAAGACAAACTCGCTCATAAGGGACCTCATTTTACATTTGTGACCACAGAGGCAACCTCGCCCACTTCCTGTCTCCACTCCCACGCATATCTGACTCCTCTCCCCTCAAGCACCAACACTCCATTAAACTTTCACTGTCAGTCCGTGACTGCTTCCTAGCTCACTCACTGGCAGAGCTAAGAACGCTACAAACCCATATCACATCCACTTGCCTTCCAGAAGCCCCCCAAAGTATTACCTTCCCACTTGTACCTTCTCCAAGATGTCTTACCAACAATCCTCTCCCTAAACAGTTTTTGCCTGAGTACCTCAGCCTGCAAGCACACTACTATTGCTAAAACCTTGACTGCACTTCGCCCTGGCCACTGTCCATGGCGTTAATCTCCGTCACAGCAAAATAGCTCCCAAACACTGTCCGCGCTGGCTGGTTTTTTTTGCCTATCTCACATTCTCTCTTGAAGCTGCTCAGTAGTCACTTCTCCACCTTCCTAGTTTCACAAGAACCCGCATCAAGGTCATCAGCGACCTCCAAATCATTCAGTCAAATGTCAGCTCCCAGCACTCATCCTCCTTGACCCACCACGAAAGCGAAAAGCCCAACCCAGCATGCCCTCTACTCATCTGGCTTCCAGATCATCATACGCAGGGCTTTCCTCTACCTCATGTCTGTCCCCTTTGTGTCTCCTCATCCCTAGACTGCTTCATCATGGAATTCCAGGGTTCAGACCTTGGACTTGTTCTATCTACACTTAGCTTTTTGGTTATATTAACCAATTTCTTGAGTCCAAATATCAGCTGACTTATCTCCAGCCCAGACAAACCCACACATGAGTGGGTCTGAGTCCCACACATGCCTATCTGATTCCTAGTGCAGACTATATTCAGATGCCCAGCTCAGACTTAGGTCCTAAACAAATCCCAAACCCTCACCAGCCCAGTTACCTGGCTCTCCATGCCTTCCGTCAGGAAAGGTAACTGCTTAGGCCCAAACTCTGTAGTCATTTTCAGTATCCCCATATTTCATACCACCCAAGTGATCCAAGAACAGATTCTGTTGGCTCTTCCTTCAAAATACAGACAAAAACTCCAACTACTTCTGTTATCTGCATCATTCCCTCCACCTCCTGCCTAGATTAGTAGGTATCTGACTGTCCCTTGCTATCCTCCCTGCCTCTCCTGACCCATTCTCAGCACAACGCTCAGAGCAAAGCTAGTAAGATGTAAGTCAGAGATTATGTTTCCCTGGAAGCTCCAAACAAAGGCTTCCTCTCTTGCTCCCAGTAAAAGCCCAAGTCTTTTCATTGTTCTGTACCCTATACAACGTGGTCTTCTGCTGGCTCTCTGCCCTTGCTTTCTACCACTCTACTCTTGGATCCTCCCACCGCAGCCACAGGCTTCCTTCATGTTGGCCAACACCAGACACACTTTGGCACCTGCTGCTGCTGGTGTGGGTAACTCCTCCCATCATGCCCTTCAGTTCATATAGTACAGGTCCTCTCTGACCATCCTAACAACCCCATTTCTTCCTGCCTGCTGTTTCGTTATAACATTTGTCCTTCAACTAAATGACAGGATTTTCCTTAGTTAGCTTATTGCCTTGTCTGCCCTGGTTAGATGGTGAGCTCCAAGAGAACAGAGGCCTTTGTCCATTTTGCTCTCTGATGTATTCTCAGTACTTAGAAGAATGCCTGACAGGCGGCTGGCACTAGGGAAATCCGTTCAGTAAATGAGTGAATGGAAGAAATATCAAGTTGATTATATTTAAGTTTACCTAGAACTAAGGTGTCATATTAGTAATAATAGAGCGAATTTCAAAATATACACATTCACTATAGTTTCCCATACAGTCTTCATTAACTATATTAAAAGCCAGGACTCACCTAATGGCTTTGATTTCAAGCTGGTTTCACAGACCTTTCAGTCTCCTCAGAAGGGCTTCATGATTTCTAAAATAATGCTTTAAACTGCCTGAAATACTGAGCTTGCTTTTTTAATCTTATGCACTGGGGTTCTGACTGCATAGTATAAAAATTTTGATATTGAAAAAGATTGCAAACCACTCCAGACTCTTAGTCCTGGCTCAGAAGCTTACCAGAAGTAGCAGCATTTTCAAATACACGATGCATCTGACTCAGTACATCATCTGCAACATCTGAGAAAAGGGTTGCTGCATCCTGGGGGCCTCTGGCTGCAACCGTTTGGAGAAAATGTCCTTGGAATTCAGCCTCCTTGGCATGGAACATAGTAAGAACCATAGCACTGGCAGAGAGCGGGGAAAGGATTCCAGTGACAGGGGACCACCCTTCATCCAGGTCCACACTGGCAACCTACAAAGAAGTTCTGATTAGCTGGAAATATTGTCAAATATCTGCTTAAAGAACACAGCTTAGTAAAAGAATAACTACTACTAGAGGTAGGAATTTACTAATCATATAAATGTAAAGTTACAAATTTACAATTTAAGGGATCTAACACTGCCAGGAATATTTACTAACCACTGATGTACTCTGAATTCTCACAGCTACTCTGAGGTAAAAAGATTGTCCTCATTTGGTAAAGGATTGAAGAGGCTGAGGAAGAAGTAACCTATGCAAGAGCACCTGTTGTTTAGGGAGATGCTAGACACAGCTGACTTCAAGGACCATATACTTACACACAGGGCAACACTACCACTTCAGGGTTTCTCCAGAACACCCTGTGGGCAGCCGGGCTGACACCTAATGCAGACTGTCTGACTCCCCCACCAGTGCTCTCCTTACCAGAGCTCTTGGCTCTTAGAACAGCACCAGCACTCCATCGTTCTCTGGGCTGTTCCACAGCAGGGCCCAGAATACAGGTGCTGCCTGAGATTATAGAGGCAATGTAACGAAAGAGAAGACCTGTTTATAAATAACCATCACTTTAAAATCAAAATCTGTTTACACGCATGATTCTTTTGTTCTTTTCAGAAGACATTTCTATGTTCTTCACTATTGTGATGCTAATATACCTAATTTCATAGTCTAGCAGTTTTTTTCTTAAATGCTCATAAAAAAGTAATCAATATATTAGCGGAATATTTGAAAATTAAAAAGAAAAAAAAAATCACCCATCACTTCATACTTTAATCATTTGGTTGATCACATTTTCTCCTGTATAAATCCAAGAACTTAACTTGGATTGGGTTCAAGGTAGGTGCAATTTGATAAATGGTTTCTTCATTAATGACACCCTTATCATGATGCCGCAATGGAGACAGCATTCGTTCCCCAAAGCACCAGCCACTCCCCAGGGCTGCTATGTGTGGCACTCCTTGCAATTTTATAAGCATACTCAAGTTACCAGAGTGTTGAGACAAGAATCACACAGCATGTGGAGGACACCTACCAGATGCAGCTCCTCTGCCATCAGACTGCTTGCCAGCTGCTGAAATAACAGCCCTTGAGTCAACCTGTTCTCCTCTGGGCTTCGTAGCATCCAACTGTCGGTGCCCAAAGTGCCACTTTTCGGGAGAGACCACTGAGCCACTGAGCCTTTTAGGAAAATTCTGACTGGGTTCTGAAAACGCCTTTGATGCATGGCCAGGGGCTCTAGGGTGACTGTCCATGTTTCGTGAATCTCTTTGCCTGTAAGAAAAAAGAATATTACAAATTCTAAGATAAGAAAAATTATTACTAAAAAAGAGACGTCATAGGAGCCGGGGAGACAGCTCAGGAGAATATAGCGCTTGCCTGGCAAGCACAAGGTCCTGAGTTCAACCCCCGGTTCTGCCAGAAAAAAAAAAAAGAGACGTAATAATATGCAGTCAAGCAATGTTTTTTCTATGCTGGGAATCCAGAGGCTTACGCACTGCAGGCAAATGCTCTAGGCACCACTTCGCAAACCGTAAACTCATCACATCCAGTGCACCATGTCTTGGGAGGAGGCTAAGGTCTAGATACTGAATGATTAACTTTTTCTTCTTCTTTTTCTTTTTGTCTTTTTTGAGACATAGTCTCGCTATGTAGTTCTGGCTGGCCTTGAGCTCACTTTGTAGCCCAGGCTGGTGTTGAACTTGCAACGATCCTCCTGCTTCAGCCTCCTGAGTGCTGAGATTACAGGAATATGCCACCATGCCCGACTGAAAGATGAACTTGTTAAACAGAACTAATCAAAAACTTAGGCTGGTGAGATGGCTCAGTGGTCTAAAGCACCTACTTAGAACAAGCTTAGCAAAGCATAGGGACCGCGGTTCAATCCCCCAGCACCACATGCCAGCCAGCCCTGCCCCCTGGTGGGCTGAGCTGGCCACACACACAC